GCGCTGCTTCGTGTACCAACAGTGAAACACAGGTGACTGAGCGATGGCCACATCCACCAGGCACCTGCTGACACTTACCTGAAACCCTCATGTGACAAAAACCACCAACTTAGAAATACAAGTTAGCGTTTGTCTCCACACGAGCTGCAGGATTGAACCGCGGATCTCATGTTACACAACATGGAAGCTTGCAGAGTATTTTTTAACTTCAGGTAAATAAAGTCCTGTTTTAATACATGATGCAGATCCATGCAGTAATTGAGAATTATTGTCTTATATTTCTCATATTAGCTGCATTGCATTGACTTGATCCCATCGCAGCTTTGTTTCTTCTGCTTAATGTTAGCTTACCTGCTAACACGAACACACCTGTATAACAGTCGCCTCTGACCAACACAACCAGCTGCTTTTTAATCTTTGCCTTTATTAATCGGTTTGATAAAAGACAGTTTTCACGCCCTTATTTTGAAAGTACCTGCAAGGAAGTTTTTTTTCCTGGTAGTTGTTTTTTTCTTTTTGGGGGGAAAAGTCGTCGGGTTTCCCTTCAGTTGACCAGGTGATTGCTCCGGTTGTCTCCTTCATTGTTTTGGCTTTTCTGTTGCAGGATTTTGATCCTTGGAGGATCCGGAGGAGTGGGAACGTTTGCTGTACAGGTATGCATGAAAAGCTGGACAATAGTGATCACCTCAACACTCGACGTGTCACAATGAAGTAACGTTTGATCTGAAAAACGCTCACAGGTTAGACGCTCACCTGGTCTCTGGGAAACATTTAATATTTGATTTAAGCACAGTTAACTCTGACGTCTGATCGCAGAGGTAAACTGTCCACGAGGTAAAAACACATTAAAGCTGAACATGTAAAATATCCTTAAAATCAGCTTAAACACCATCTCTCTTTAAATATTAGAGAAAAAGAAACATCTGCACTTTTTTAGCCTAAAAAGATCAAATTCTTACATTTTTTCTTCATCGTGGTTAAAATGAAAAACGAAACATTTGATTTAACCGAAATGAAACTTGTATAAAAGTCTGGTGTTGTTCCTGCTCAGATGGTGAAGGCGTGGGGCGCCCACGTGACCGTTACCTGCTCCCAGAACGCCGAGCGGTTCTTAAGGGGGCTCGGGGCGGACCACGTGGTGGACTACACCGCTGGGCCCGTCGAGGAGCCGCTCAGCGCTCTGGAGAAGTAAGCAGATGTCGCTCCGACTGAATCTCTGCCTCCGTTTGTCATCTTGGTCTGATTTACTTTATCTTTAAGGTTCGACCTGATCCTGGATAATGTCGGGGGTGACACGGAGAGCTGGGCGTTGAAGCTGCTGAAGCCGTGGAGCGGCGCCAAGTACGTCACCCTGGTGACGCCGTTCATGCAGAACACCGACAGGCTGGGCGTAGCTGACGGCATGATGCAGTCCGCCGCTACAGCGGCCAGCAAGGCCTTAAAAGTAAGCTTGGATGGAGTTGTTTAGTTTTTTCTAACTTTCATAGAAACAGGAGGTTTTTTACACTTTGTTTTCTTGGTTGTAGAGTCGGATATTAAACCAGTGACAGACGCATTCAGTGGTATTTCTTTTCAATTTTAACTCCTGGGTTCGGGTACAGCTGTAGTGGAAGGTTGGCTCGTATCACTGCCCTTGTTCCTGGTGGGGTTTGTTTCCACCACGCCTGCCCTGGAGTTCTGTTCATAATGTTTGTGAGCAAAGGTCGTAGGTGCAGTGGTCTCAGAATCTCGTGGTAGTTTGCAGGGATGAAAAGTTGCACCTTGAAGTTTAAGGTCATGATTCTCCACCAGGAAAAGGCTGGAGTGTTGCTGCCCTGGATGCAGGAGTCTGTGTTTGAGGAGTGCGAGGTGCAGTGTTGCACGCTGTGATGACCCTGAAGGTGCTGATGTTGTGGTTGTTCTACACGCCTACTCTCACCATGCGACTGCAACCTGCGGTAGAGCGAAGGAAGACGATTGAGCTCCTCTGTGAGAGCTGACGGTGAAGAGCCGAGGTCGTTGCATCTGATCGAGATGCTGTTTTGGAGATGCCTTGTTGGGAGGAGCTCCTGGGCCAGACATGGCACTAATGTTTGGCTGTTAATGAACAAATCCACACAATAATTCATACAGATGTTTAACTTTAACTCCATTTTTGACTGTTTGCCGAGTTGTTCTTACAAAATAATATATTTTTCTCTCCCAATTGCCAAGTATGGAAGCTCAGCTAGAATTAGAACAGATTTATTCTAGTAGTACTCTGACTTGTGTCATAATATGTGCAGTTGTGGACTTTCTGCAGATACATTTAGGTTTGTGTTCCTTTTATACTCTGCACATTTCTTCCAGGTCCCTAAAAATCAGACATGGTACCTGAAGAAACAGGTGGAAAAATGTTAAAATGCAGCAGGTTACTTTCTGGTGGCTGAGGCCCCGCCCCCTGCTGCAAGGCAGATAAAGAAAACTGTCCTGAACTCCTAAACTCTCTGTCAGAGCAGATGACATCGTCCACCTATACACAGGCGCGCGCACAAGCACACACATCCTCTGTGGGCGTTGTAGTAGCAGCCTGCAGTTTGCATGCAGCGCACTCGCCGACCACAGAATCCACAGCTGTGCTCGGCTCTGCACAGCAAAGGATGCAGAAACGAGATGCAAGGAGATAATCTAGAGTTTTAGAACAATAAGTTACACCCTTCAGTCTTTGTGGAAATACGAGCGGTTACACATTAAGCCACATCTTTTTCTTTTTTTCAGTTCAGTAATAAATAAATAAATATATGATTGAAATGGAGACTTTAAATCAGGTCTAACAGCATGAACTTCATTTGCTGTCAGCAGATGAAGTGTAGAAGTCACCGGCTGATTCGGTGTTTCCACAATGCTCTGCAGACCTGCCGGTGGGTCTGTCTGCCTTCAGTGTTGGATTCAGGGACTGATGAGCTGCTCTGTTAGGTTGAGATCCGGAGACTGACTTGCTCGTTGTTGAATCTCTCATTTCTTGGGTTGTTTTTGTAGCATCGTATCCACCTGCTGTGGAGCTGTGTCTGAATCTGAGCACAGCCTTGAACACATCACACTCATCCTGCTTCTGTCATTCTGGTTTAATTTGGGTTTAATCTTTCCAAACTGGTTTCCTGAACCCTGCACATAAATGTATTCGAAGCATAATGTGGCCTTCCTGCTCTTCAGCGTAACCAGTGGCTGTGCACTGTGGTCGAAACTCAATATTTCCATTTATGGAGGCGTCTCTTTATTGTTGACATGAAAAAATAACGCCTACGTCCTTCAGTGCGTTCTTGACCTGATTCGATGCGGCGATGATGTTTGTGTAAATCATGGAAATAATTCTGTCATCACGCACTTGACTTGTCTCAGGCTGTTATTTACATGTACAGTTAAAACATGACTGTTGATTTGAGCAGTGACATCTTTGGATCTTCAGTCTGAGTGAACACACCAAATATAAGTTCAACACTTTGAGTCAACTTCAAAAATAGTTTGCTTTAGTTATCATTAACTAACAAAGGTTTAGGCCTCGCCCGGTCCTGAAACTGCTCGTCAGTCAGTTGTCCACTTACTTTTGAGCGTCTCAAAATGGGGAGCTGTTTGTAAAAATAGCTGCAGTTCTGTCAAACTAGTCGTTCTTGTGGAAATTACATAAAAATGAATAATTATGTAGAAACCTGTGGGCTCAGTGTAGGTGGGGAGGGGGAAATAAACAGCAGTACCATGTGCTGCATGTGTAGAGGATTCGTGTCACATTTGTTCAAATTAAAAAGGAAAGTATTTGCATCTGAAACATCGTCTGAGGTCAGGCAAGTGTGGGTAACTTCAGAAGTAGTTCAGAGTTTCAGGTTAGTCTCATTTTCCACGGCGGCACAAATCACTGTAACTGAAATTCCCCAATACAAAGTTTGTAGTAGCAACCAAATTCAGCATGTAGTTACACACACGGGTAAGCGCGCACGAATGATTTTGCAATATCAAATTCACATCAAATGATAATTCGTGTTTAAGGATGTTTTTAGCTCATCTGTGACTTGGAGATCTGATCCTCATTTATGAAAAGCTCTTAGATTTAAGCCATCAGCACAACTTTGAAGCAGGGAGGAGAGTTTAATCAGGAATGACTCATGGAGTAAAAGACAAAAGAGAAAGAGGCTGAAATGAAACCAAAACTGAGCGAAAACAAGATGCTGGCATTCAGGACAGAAGAGGTTCATGTTCAGCTCGTTCCAGTCGTCCAAACGTTCATCGTTGGCTTTTTCAAACAAATGAATCTTTTTGTTTTGTTTTGTTTTGTTTTGTTTTGTTTTGTTTTGTTTTGTTTTGACAGGTTTCTAAGTGTCATGTTCAAGGCTGAAATATTGTCAGCTCTGTTTTGTTTCCGATCATAAATGTTTAAGAATTAAGAATTAAGAAAAAGAAGCTGCAGTTCCTCTGAGATCCACTAGAGGCTGCAGCAGTGAGGTTTGGCTGTTTACGGCCTGATACAGAAAGTCTGTCTTCATATCAGCTGCACAGGGGAGGATGTTTTTGTAACGCACCCGTTTAAAACTTTATTAAGACTTAAAGTTTGCAGTATTTTGGGGGTGTGGCCTCTTTGACTGACAGGTGGATGCTATACATGCTAGCAGTCTGCTCAGCTTCACCTCAGCTATTGCAGTCCCGGATCTGCACCTCTGGACTGTATTTGTGCTGTTTGCATGTTTGCATGTTTTTATGCAGTTGTGTGACTAATAATGTGGCAGCTGTGACGTTGTCGTGCTAACAGACCATCCAAGAGGCTGGTAACTCAGGACTCTGGCTCCTGTTATGGTAGCTTGACTGCAAAAGGCACAGCTGGGTCACAGTGGCCGTATCCATCTCTTGTATACAGTCGTTGTTTATAAGACTCGAGTTAATTTGCCAAAAAAGGGAAAAAACCACAAATTTATTGTCATTTTTCAAAATTTTCTATCAGTGTCGTGTTTGTTCTGGTTTCTCATTTTAAAGTAAATTTAATCTTCGCATCAGGAAGGAGGCGGAAGAAGAGCGTGGATGGCGGTAACAGGGCGGGACTGCCCCACAAAGCTTCCGTTGCTTTTCTTGTTAAATGTAAAGTTACTGAGTTGATGTCAGACTGTGGGGGTTACAGGCTGGCACAGATTCTACTCACGCTAACTTATTCCAGAATAACATCAGTTTTGAACATTTGAAGGTGAAGCAGGATGGAGGTGTACCTGGAGCAAATCTACAGGAAACAAATGAAACTGTGTGTTTGTGCACTTTGTGTTTTCGCTTCCTTTAACACAGAGACTAAGTTTCCAATCCCCCCCTGCCCTCACACACACACACACACACACACACACACACACACACA